TGGATAAATTATTAATAATAAAGCATCATAGTTCTAATAAAGTAGTATGTATGTATTCTTTAAAAGTCATTACAATAAATTGTTTTCGAGTTTGCTGGACACGCCCTTATCAAATAGTTTGTATATCAAAATTTACTATCAATTTACTATTCGGATAGTTATCTTTGATTATTAAACATAGAATTAATGTGACATAAAAGTGTAATTACTAGAATAAACTAGTGTAATGTGACATAAAAGTGTAATTACTAGAATAAACCTTAGAGTATAAGGCTTAGACTAATATATATAAAATACAGACTATACATACGTTAAGTTCAAAAACATGTTGAAGTATAAAGGTCGAGACTTGAACTTCAAGATAAAATACTCTTTGCCAATCGAACAATAGTCTGTGAAAGTGAAAATATACAAGCGCCAGCAAGGACCAAAATCATTTGCTTTATCGATCGTTTCGAATCTAGATTCTTTATTGACCTTCAATAGAAGATCGACATTTTATCGATGCTGTATCAAAAATAGATCCACATGATATTTCATTGATATCATATTGATATCAAGTTGATATATGAGTAATAGAGGATATCTAATAGATATCCTCCTAGTGAGAAATGACATGTTGATCGACGTCGAAACGACGTCGAATCGATGTCGATTTGACAATTTCGACGTCGTTTCGATATCGATCGACAAGTCATTTCTCTGGGCTCTTGTAGGTAAGTCGTTACCATTTCAACTTTAATCGAAACTCATTAAACAACATTGTCGAAAATTCATCAAACCTGCTAATGAATTTATTTGAAAATAAATAGGAATTTATTCAAACATCAACAAACGTTTACTTTAAACTTGAACCAGCTTTTGAATTGGACACATGCATAGCTTATGTGCATACATTGGTCTAAGCGTTACATTCTACGGTACTTACACTTTATTTTAGTAATTACACTTTTATGTTCATAAATCTATGTTTAGTAATCAAAGATAACTATTCGTTTTTTATCAAGCTATTATTAATAGCTTGATAGTAAATTTTGATATAATTGCAACGAGATTTACGATCACAATAAGTCAAAGATTGATACTCAAAGTGCGAATAGAATTGACAATAGTTATTGACGCTAATAGAAATTGTAAAGTACATTCAAATATAACTAATTTTCGACTCAAAAATTTTTGCCAACAGTATAACTGAATGAGCGAAAAATGGGCGCTCGATGCCCTCAGATTGCATTTAAAAAATTTTTAATCTAGATACAGTCGTGTGACTGCGTCACATTTTTATTGTTATAGCTTTCCATATTAAAACTTATTTTATGTCTACCAAGTTTCATAAAAATTGATTTGGTAAAATGAAAAAAATAATGCCTATTTTGCACACACCTTTGTATTAATATTCGAATTTAAGGTTTATTAAAAGTCTCGGAAAGTAATATTTTAAGAATTCATGGTAACATCGCTACCATCTTTAGCAATGTAATTAAAAACTACTTTATTTTAATGTTGATGTAATATTTTTGCGTGCTAATATACATATGATGATAAAAAGAAGTATTTTATCATTGTTTACCTTGTGCAAATATATCGAACAAATTGCAATGCATTTGCGGAGAATGCAGCAAACACATTAGACAATTTCTAACATCTTTCAGCTAAAAATAATATAACAACTGACAACAATACGCGGTAAGAGACATCTAACAGTAATAATTGCAAAACATTATATTACATGGCAACATCTTAGTAAGGAGTTATCGATCATATCCCATTATGCTCCGTGATCCCGTTATTCTCCAAGTTCCCTTATAACTAGATGCATCGAAGCGTCTAATGGCATCTACCTTTAATCATCACCAAATAAGTATTCCCCCTACAGATACGAGTTTCCAGCAAAGATCACTTCGCTTCTGAGAGTTCTGAGCAGCAGCAATCTTCGATTGTCGCAAATGATTCGGTTTACTCTACGAGATGACCGACATATCGCGAGACGATATTTCGGAGTTCGTTACCCCTACAGCTCAGCTATATCCCAGCTGTTCTTGTGGCGCGCTGCAACCCACACGTGACACGTGTACATACGCTTTTGTCGGCGCAAGCGTATCGCCCGCCACGGATTCTATCTGGTTCGATCGCGTGAGCAACAACCTCTCCTTCGTGACGCGATCCGTCCGCTGGGGCCGTTTCGCGCCCCAGCCTGTGCACTCCTACGTATGCGCGAGAGAGTGTACGCGATGTGGACTCACGTGTTCAGGGAGCCGCGTGGCATTTAGAGCGCGTCCATCGCGCCAACACCGCGTTACCCAATTCTATGCAATTCCGTTGTTTACTTGGGACGCGCATCGTCGCAGCTCGTTGCAACCGAGTCGCGTCGATTAGACGTTAATTCTACGCAGCGTGAAGCAGCGTTAATGCGACGCCAATCGGTGGCGCGGTATCGTGTACGCACAGTCACACATACGTGAGCGACGGCGCGGTATATTCTTCGCTTTGAGAAGGAAAAAGAAGAAAAAACGGCGCGGGTCACTTTCTTTTCCATGTTCGACCGCGCGCATAGGCCGCTCAACGCGGGAAGTGTACGTGACCTACATTTCCGGAACTGTCGGCCTTATTGGAATCGATCTATCGGATTCCATTGCCGCAGAATTCTAAAAACGGCGCGACGCGCGCGACACAATCAAGGATAACGCGTAAGACCGATGCTGTCTCCCTTTTCCTCTCTCTTTCCTCCTCTGAATGGAAAATTAAACGTCCTCGTTTAAGTTTTCATATGTGAATTTTCCTCTGTGACGTGCATAAAATATGACAATAAAAAGTAACGATACATTCGTCGACTGTGAAACGAAAGCTCTCGGACTTGAGTCTTGAATTTCGCATCGGCAATCGAGAGCCTGTCCGTCGTAGTCTGACAGACGACATGCATAGGATAAAAGCGAGATTCTTAATTATGCGTTACTGCGTCGAAAACGATTTATAACGCATCGTTAAGATTAATCTTTGCGGCATCAATACTGATTTCTCGTTACTCAACATTCCTTCGCCGAACCTCGAATACATTGGAGCTGTAGTTAACTGTTACAGCTTCCTCGTTATTATCCTATCGTCCACGTAAATCCTTTTATAATAGCGACGTATCATGTTGTCCCTGTATGGTCGATGGACATGTGCGATTACTCTTTTAACGGACTCCATACACCAAACTTCAATAAAGCATTCATATTTGCTAGGGAAATACTCACTAATCTTGTCTCCATCGTGTCTGGATATAATACGATAAAATATGATATATGATAAGCTATCTAAGTGACAGATTAAATAATCAACAGTCATAATGTATACGTAAAAATGGAGAAAATAAGGTAAAATTCTTTGATAATGCATACGCATATTCAGATATGATGTAAATGGTTAGAAAAAAATTAGCGAGTTTTTCAGCCGGTTGGAAAAATTATTTTTTGATACATATAGGAAAATAGCCAAAAGCGACATAGACCTCTTAAAGCGACATACTTCTATATCTCATATATTAAATATTGTATTTTATTGAAACTAATATAAACGTAATTCGTTTTATCAGTTAAGTAATGAAAAATTCATACTTGATATATTTCTTTTATACGCTAAATTAGCAAATATCGAGTTTTAGAAATTCGGAAGTTTTATTTCTATGATTTTTACTAACGAATTATATAGACTAAACAGAGAGAGTTATCTTTTGTTCAATATTAAGTTCTTCTACATTGCATTTGACTTTTGTAAAAATATTTTTTGAATATTTTTACCTTCATTACTTTTTTACTGTATAACTTGAAAATTTTATGAGAATGTGTCTTAAAATGACATACCTACAGTATGCGATAGACATAACATAACTTGATTTTAACCTTTAATTGTGACATGTCGTATAGTATATGTTTAATTTTGTTTAGTTTAAAAATATAACATATGTAAAATATGTGAGAAATGAAAAAGATAGAAATGCCAAAGATAAGTTTTTATTTAATTATATTTCCCTCTTGTAACATTATATTTTGAATAAATGAATATTATTCAACCATTAAACGCATTAATGAACTATTTATTATCAAATATTATCAAATATTATCATATATGCAACATGTTATATAACTTTCAATAGATATGTCACTTTTGGCACCCATTTTCTTTAAACTCCATTTTTGTGCGTTTTACAAAAACACTTTTTGTTTTAAATCTAGAAACAATTTCAGTAAAAATATGATATTATCTGATAGGGGATACTTCCAACTACATGTATATATATTTACATTTATATTTTAAGCTTTACATTAAGACATAACCTTCAAAAACAAAGTGTCGCTTTTGGTGCTTTTACTCTACTTGTTATCGCAATTTGTTACATGTTGAAGAAAGGTAACTCGTTAACGTTACCGTTAGCAATCTTGAAAAATTATTCATTTTTATGTTTCAATAATGTTTTTCACCACATTTCTAAGACCTTTTTACGATTCATTGTTGCCCCCCACTCTCCTTCTCCATGTGTGTATATATATATATATATATATGTATTTTTTTAAGTAGCACGGTTATGAATACGATCATTACTTTTATGGTTATTTTACACAAACATACATATATATATATATATATATATATATATATATATATATATATCGTTACACAAATAACGGTTAACGCAAATAAAACGACGCCGTTACGAAATCGTTACTGAAAAAAATAACTTGTAACAGTAATAGTGTTACAAGTAACGACTTCCTAATCTTGGTTTTGGTTTAGTAAGGTTTCATACATGCTCAATATAGATACACAAGCAGGTACGCGTGGCGTTGTATTAGCATTTTTATGATAGTCGCGTAAAACTTGGCGTATCTCTATGCGTTTTCCCGCAATGAAGGGTGCACCGGGAACGAGGAGGAAGACGGCTGCACCTGAACGATCTCTATGCGCTACGCTAACAGCGGCTTCGACCGACGCTCGCAGTCGGCTACTTGTCGCTCACTCACCTGACATAGACGCGGCAGGTGGAATTGTTCACACGCCGATCACTGGCGAGTCGTCGGCGGTCCTCGAAGAAGTCCTTGAGCGCGGTGACACCTAGGACGAAGACTACCGGGATCATGGCGACCTCCTTGCCGAAGGCGTTTATAGCCGGCACCCAGTTAAGCAGCACAATGAATATGAAGTACAGATTGGCTACACGGTGGAACTGCTCCAGCAAATTGCGAGGTAGAAAGCTCAGCGCCGTATACTTGGTTGTGCGTACCCTGAAAGCAAGCGGGCAGAGGACGCGGGTGAGAAAATTGCTTCTGAGAGTCGACTCTGTTGTACATACCGAACGTAAAGGATCTTTTACAATAGTCGCAATGTCGATCGCGATTAGTCGCGACGCTCGTCGCAGCGATGATCACATACTCATTGCGTGAACTTGTCTGGAGTTGCAACAGCTAATCAGAAGTGCCAATGTTATAAAACTGTACTACTGATTGACAATTCTAGGCAAGTCTGTGTCATGAATTTGCGATCATTGTTGCAATGAGTGTCGCAATTAACACTACGACTATTGTAGATTTTTATATAAAGTGTCACTGAACTGCTGATACAAAAGGAATGATTTTACATGAAAAAATAAGACGGAAATGAGCAACACTTTTTTTACATGAGACTTTGTTTAACCGGAAAAGTAACCTTGAATATCTATTAAATACGCGTGCATTTATACGTAGCTTCATCCATGATTCGGCCTAATAGAATCGTTAATAATAATTTACTTATTAAATAAATTACTTATGTTGCGATTTGTATTTACCGTATTACATAATGAAGGATGAATAGTAAAACTGTTTTAATTTTTTTTATTTATCACTTTCAAAAATAATTCTTAGAGGAATTCATCAATTCGATAGTCAAGTGCACGCGTACTTGATGCATTTTCAATATCAATTTACTCGAAAACGAAGTCTCATGTGAAAAAACGTTATTCTACATATTCTCGAATTATTTTTTCATGTAAAATCACTTTTTTTCGGTTACACCACCAATTCTGCGGTCTTATATATATCTGTGTATGCCCGAATACTTTACGATTTTTGACCTTACACATATGTGTAAGGTTAAAAATTTGCACAAGTAACTCTAGTTATAATATATTAAGGCACATGTGACGCTTAATATATTTGTCGCCATAAAAGTGCCGCGTTAAGATCTTTTTATTTAGATTGAAGAATTGCATTGAAGAAGTTGCAGTGTAGACGCTCGCAGCAACGATAATCGCAAACGCATGGCGTGAACTTGCTGACTTCGTTGATATAGCCAATTAGTGTACACTCAGCTACAAAATGGTTTTAAATTTTTTTCGTGTAAAGTTGCAGCGCTTCAGTTGTCACAATTGCGAACCACTATCCAAACTGAATTAACCACTACTAACGAATTCGCGCACTGATAAAAAAATTTATTCAATCTATATAAATATATTTATTCAAATATGTTTTAGTTGCAATAAGAGATTATTTATTAAATTGTAATAAGCAATAATTCACTTTAAAAATATATATAACAAAATTGAAAACAAATTTATCCAACGTGAAATAATTTTAAAACAAATAACGAATAAATGGTATTAAGACACCATTATTCAAATTGAATAACTTATTCTTAACAACTAAAATATTTAATATATTTAAATTCAGTAAATAGTTTTAAACAAATATTTTTTCAAACTAATTATTAATTGATTTTACAATACATTACAATATATATAGACAAAGTGTAAGACGTTTATATTGATCGAAGAAGTGGTATAGTACCTAAAATAACAGACTCATAATCCAAAAGTGCCTCACGGGCCCAAGTTCGAGTCCCATCAGTACCAGTGAGAAGTTTTAAATGTAATGTAACATTGAAAGCAACTTAATCGTTCCTAAGTATTACTCTACACGAATTTTTAAAAAATTTAAAGAACCATTGAAAAAAGAAGAATAAAGAAAAATTCTTTAAAGTGAACAATTTTTTATTCAAATTTGATAAACAGTTACTCAATTTTACTCATGCAATATTTAAAAATAATACATAAAATAATTAAATAAGTAAATATTTTTTACAATTTCTTTTATGTATATCAAATAAATAATTCATTAGTTTTCAGCAAAAAATATTTCATCCTGAATAATATTTCTTTTTAATTCGAATAAATACGCCGTTTTAGAAAATCATTTATTCAAAACAAATTATTTTTTTTCAAATTGAGTACATTTTTTTATTAGTGTAATTGGCCAGTAACACAGACGCAACTATTTGTTACGTAAATTAGTCAATAGTGGCTCGTAATGGTGACAACATTTAGCATTGCACTTCATTAAAAAAAAAGTATGGAAACCATTTTGCAACTGAGTGTATAATCTTTATACTACCGAAGCTTCTAAATTGGCTGTCACAACGCCAGACAAGTTTACGCTATAAGTTTGCGACTATCGTCGCGCAATAAACATTACAACCAACATTGCGACCAATGTGAAGAAGTTTTTAAGTTGCTGCACTGAGAGAAGAATTTAGTAAATATTATCAAAATTTGATTACTATTACTAAATAATAGATGTAAATATAGCGGGCCAAAGCTATGGCAATACTTATTAATTAATTTAGTTCTGTAAAATAAATTATTTATTTGACAGAAGTAAAATTTATTTGCTTCCAGAATATATTTGGTAAATAAAACTTATTGAATAGTTGAGCAAAATAAGCGATTTTGTAATAGTTACAAAAT